ATAAATTAAATGTAATTTATGCAACTCTCTTATTATCAAATCAATACGATGGAGTTTTCAAACACCAAGGACACTTCTTGGAGATAAAAAAGAAATGATGGTAAGCGGCGTCTGGAAAAATGACCCAGTGAAAACAGGAGCTCTTATACACAATACACACACGTCATGACCTCGGCAGTACACGCACACACACACACACACACGCACCTAAGTTCACCATATGACCATTTTTAGAACATTTGTTCTCCCATGAGTCACTGCTGCCCCCCAGCTGAATAAGCGGACGTCTCACTGGTTTCGTCAAGTTAAAATGCACTCACGCGGCCACATGAACTCACGTTATGGAGGCACATAGAAATTAGAACATTAAAAAGCATTTGACATAAGATAGTGTTGCTGTTATTCTGATGCTCCACGAAATGTCCAGACTTTTTAGCCTGGACTTTGAAAAGCTTAAAATTGTTGAGGAGATTTAAAAAGAGTAGAATATGATGAATATGAATCAGGATGTTGCTGTAAACCCTACAAGTAAAATTTAAAAAGGTCTAAGTTAAAATCACTGGAGGAATAATCATAATAGAAATAAGTCTATAGCTTTACAGTGCAGGAAGTAGTAAAACTAATTACCAGACAGAACCTACTAGAACCTGCATTTAATGGGTGAAAGTCAAAGGAGTAAACAGTCTAAAGATGTGCCGTCCTCTACATCCCCGACTGTGTCAGTAGTCAATTTCAGAGGAATTCTGGCTCATTAGCCTCTGAAACCTTCATTAGTGCACAGTCACAGAGAACCAGCAGTGGCTTAAGAGAAGCTGGCGTCTGACCCAGAAGTTGTTGGTTTAAATTCCTGAGGGGAACCAAAACATTTCTCTGTAATGTCTTTTTATTTCCAACACAACTATAGTGAGGACATGCTAACTGTTCCAGTGGAGCTGCTGCAGAAGACTGTGGTCATACTGGGCAGCCCCTGGGCAGGAATGTCTGGAGTCACGGCAAAAGGCTCTCGTTGGTTCCCAGTAAGTCTCTTATAACATCGTCAAATCAGAAAAAAACTCCAATTATATGATGTGGGCACAACATTTATAAGAGGATTTTAATTCTCATATGATTATATAACACTGCATATGATAGTGCTCTATGGAAAGATCATGTAACAGAGCCACAACTTACACACCCTGTTTTCACCTGACACTGGTTTGGTCAGTGGATAACTTCAGGGTTTTGAGTGAGTGATGAGGAATGAGACAAGTTTAGAAAAGACGTGACAAAACACAAATGCATGCAAGAAGTATTGTTATACTCTGGATTATACAATGACCAACTTATTCAGAACCACTGCAGCTTATTTAGCACACACACACACACACAGCATCGCCTGGGTCTCTGCTCTTCATCTCAGCAGGCAGACTGTCGTGACATCTGGGTATTTTCCAGACGTCTGCCCTGCTTTCTTGTGTAAAAATCACTTCAGCTTGTTGAACACACTGGACAAGGAGCATTGACTTGTTTCTGAATAACAATAATTTTATTTGTAACTTTGCATCTTAGTCAAATTACAAACAAATAGGCTGGATGCCCCTGCCTGTATGTGTTTAGGCTGCATGTCCTGGGGAGTCACCATCAGCCGGATGGTAAACACCATAAATGTTCTGGCTCCCAGTGGGCTTATAATGATTACAATGTCAGTCAGGGGAATGACCAGAAACCATGTGATTTTCCTTGAATCGTACCCTTTCTGGGTGGAAAAAACAGGTTAGAGGGAACAACATGCAGCTTTGAAAACTGGGACTGGAACCATGTTACACTCTGTCTGGAATTTGTAGTGGAGAGTGCTGCCTGGTGGTCTAGTGGTTAGGATTCGGTGCTCACGCGGCTAGGGTTCAATTCCCGGTCAAGGAATGTGATTTTTGTGAGGCGACTGTGGTTCAGTGGGCAGAGCAGTCTCCCAACCAGAGAGTCGGAGGTTCAAATCTCGGTGCCTGCAGTCCACATGTCAAAGTGTCCTTGGGCAAGACACTGAACCCCCGATGGTTAGAGCCATGGGCTGATTTGGTGCCCCAGATGGCTTCCTCGGTTCTGTAACATACTTGGCCAAATAAAGGTGATTATTCATTAAGAAACCTAAATCCTGTCTTAGCGTCCTACAGTTTTAAACAAGTGTCATAACTTTCCATCTCAAATGCTCTGAACTTGCCTGATTTTTATCACAGGCGTTTTCCACGTTATCGGCCAATTGAGGTAAACTTCAGACTTTAAATCCTGCCTAAAGGCACCATTACTGACGACTCGCAGTGGTGAGGATGCTCTATAAAATAATTCCTGTGGCTGATTAAAGTCCATCATGATGCATTGCTTCAAGGTCCCATTAGCTTTAATTCAGCTTATTTTTGTTTATGTAGGTCACATGCCTGCCTCAGTATCATATTTAGTGTGCGCTTACATGTGCGATGTGTCCTTCTGTCTACAGTTATTTCTGTCCATGACACTTCACCATGTGACAAATCTACATTGTGAGTCTATTTCCAGTCTTTCTTATCAACACCTCGAATATGGTCATGTACTGACAGGAAGTCCATTAACACAGCCAAAAAAAAAAGATAACGTCTCCATCTTGCTGTGAAAGCTTAGCACTATTTGTCCAGCACAGTGAAAGCAGCGTGTCAGCAGCGTCTCCCGTCAAACTCCTGTAATGTTCGACAGCCCGATAAATCAAGTGGTTAGATGTAACGTGAAAAACAGTGCCAGTGGTGACAAAGTGGGCAAATTATCACCCAACTTTGCAGCTCCACAGAGTTGTATTACTCTTTTAGCTCATTGTTTAAACTTCATGGTGCATTTAGGATTTCAGTCTCAGGACCAGACTGCGATAAACCAAAGGTACACTACCAGCTGAGGTGATACCAGTAGGTTACGTCTGGCTCTCAAGTATAAATCAAATCAGCTCAGACATTCTCAGTCTGAGTGCAGCATTTTCCTCCGTTGAAAGGCTTAGGCACAACACCTACATGTTTTTGTGCAGCATCTTAAGTCAAATGAACATAAAAAGGCTTTTGGGTGACATATCAGAATGAACGTAGCTAAGACAACCAGGAGAATCCTACATTCTGATAAAAAACAAATCTGAATAGACTTTTGACTAACTGTTGCCAATTTTCTTTCACAAATATTGTAAAAAATAATGATAAAAAAAGTAGAGCTACCACCACTGGTCAAAAGATGTTCATAAACATCTGGAAAATCAAGTGTTTGTGACAGGAGAGGGATTCTGGGACAAGCAGTCCCATTCTGTTCTCTTGTCTAGATGTAATGCACCTTATTTTACATGGAGCAGCGTGGACGGTTGGTCTCAGTCTGCAGGTCAGCTAACAGAGCAGTACAACCTGCACTCCTTTACAGCAGGACTACAGTGTTAATTATTATTATCAATAGTGAAACCTAAGTGGTGGTTGGGAAAGGGAAGTGAACAAAGTTCCCCAGCTGTGCGAGCTGCACCGTGAGGCTGCTCATTACACTGCCCTGCCCCGAGTTAAATGCAGGAGTGAGGACATTAACCCTGTAGGATCTGTGACCAGCTGAGCAAGCTGAAGTTCATCAGGTTATATTGTTTTCCATTTTTGTTCAGCATGTTAGTATGTTACCACCTTCTAACACTAAACAGGGTATCACATTTACATTTCATTGTACATGTCAAACCATAACATCAGAAAAAGTCTGATGATGATGAGCTGAAAAATCAAGATAACACCAAAGTCATTAAGATTTATCTTCTTGGGACAATAAATGTTCATCCAGTAGCTGCTGAGATATTGGAGTCAGTGGTTGTGGACTCAGATGATATGAAATACTTTTTGGATTAATTCTGAGAAATGTAGGAAATCATTGTTTAATCATGATGTCAGGATTAACACATTTCTATCTGCTGATGTCACAACACAAACACACTTCAGAGAAGCTGGAGACGTCACTGGCTTCTCCATGGTGCATATCTCCAGAGAAACAGCTACACACACTGTTTTCATTAGACCCTATCTGCAAGGTAAAATGAAGGCCTTCAAGCACCAGTGTGTGAAGACGGCAGCTCACTCTGTCCTGACAAATCCTCCTCCTCATCACCCATCTAACAAAATAACACTGTAGGCGGTTTACTGGATCCATCTAGTGGCCAAAATGCAACAGTACAATAATTTAGTTTTAACACTGTTACTCCACTGGCTGTGAAAAGCTGGTTTTATTCTGAAGTAATCAAAGCCACCATCCTGTCTGTGCTCAAACTGAACATTAAAGTGGACATATGGACTTAGTCGAAGCATCTGCTGCTGCACATGTACCACGTCATGCTTCAGTCTTGCACTGCAATCCTCAAACAACATTAGAAGTAGGAAATGTGTTCTCAAATTTGCCAGTAATGTGAACTTAATTTTATACTCAAAAACAAAACAAAAAGACCCAGTGTTGCTCACCTGTTGAATGTAGAAACAGGTGTTTATCTGATATCCTTGATCTTCCCAGAAGTCGATCAGTCAAGCGAGGATTGAAGACATCCCGAGGGTCTTATATCTTCTCTGAGGAGCGAGGAGGCTGCTGGAGGAGCCTCAATCGAGGATACAGCATGACAGTGCTTGCTCTTGTTCCTAACATTGCTTCTTTTCATCTTCCAACTATCTCCCATTCCAAGTTGTTAAGATCAAACCTATAGTCCTCTTTTTTCTTTATCTCCCATTCCAAGCTGTTGCTTCCATGTGAAAACACGAAATTCACACCATTGTGTGGTTTGTCTGTTCTGGGCTACTGAAGAAAACATGGTGGCCTCAATGATATGACCAACCTCTATGTAGCTATACAGGTAAGCTAAAGAAAATGCAACAACTCTTTATATTCTGGTGAGTAAACCTTAATGAAAACATAACTATGCATACCTTAGCCCATTTCTACTAATAAATCCTTGTAGATCTTATACATTGCACTTCTAAATAAATTTTAATTTTCAAACAATTCAAATAGCCTTTTTCACACTACCTTTTTAATTCAAGTTGACAAAATCAAAGGAAAACAAGGTTTACACTTCTGAGCAAAATTCTACATAACTTTAGAAAAATGCATCTAAAAAATTTTTTTTAACTCTCCAACAGAAACCAACAACCTCCCAAATATTTACAGTTCATGGGTCTGAAGGAACTGCATGACTTTGCTTGAAGAATAAATGCAAAATTAAGAATCACATAAATCCCATCTTCTGTTTTCTGTCTTGAAGAACCAGGGTGAAAACGTTCTCACACTGAAGCTGCTCAGTTATTTGAAACCATGATAAAACAACAGGCTCTCTAAGATCAAACCTATAGTCCTCTTTTTTCTTTAGTCAAAACATGTTTTACATCCTTGCAGCCCCACAAAAGTAAGTTGTATAAGTAAGTGTCCAGTGAGAAGACAGATCATGTGTGAACTATTCAGCCTCTCATAACAGCACCTTCCTCTCCCTCAGGGTTAGAAACTTCCCAGCTGCCACAATCGCTCCTGTGCACCAGGAAGTGGTGAGGGTTAGCCCACCCTAAGAGGCGGAGCTACGAGGACAACACCGTCTCCTCTGACGAACAACATGGGGATGTTCCTCTTGGTCGACTAAAAAGACACAAAAAGTGTGTGCTTTTACTTCACTATTAGCAACATTCTTAAAATATTCTCTAAGCTAAAAAATGTATTTAACTGAGAAACAAAGACATGGAGAGGGTTAAAAGCAGCCAAAGGACTCAGGCTGGATTCAGATGTGACGTTCTTCCTTCTGCATGTGTTAGCATCTAAAGCTAATATCTAACATTATCAAATTAGAATGGTCATGATTTTACCTTTGTTTTGAATTAATATGATTGGGAGTAATTCGAGCTTTGTGTAACGTAAGTGCTTTGTGTCACATTAGCAGTAACCAGAGCTTTCTACTGGACTGGCACATTTACCGTTTGTCACCTAACGCTAGCTTCAGACAGGAGGCTGCATTTTGTACAGTTGGTTACAACCAGGCATCCGTAGTTTACATCATCACTAGGAAACAGGATGCGATCAGAGGGGCGCAGAGCGGTTAGCAGTGGCTTATGGCGTCAGTTTGTTTTGAGTCTCTCTAGACCTTCTAGGCTGAAAGGACATTAAGTATGTTTAAAAATACTATAAATGTTATTAATGGCCAATACAAACAAGAGTTTTTTGTACAATACATATAGTATTTAGTTTCATGTATGCTTTACGTGTATGATTATATGTACTTGTAAGTGGAATGATGGTGCTCAAGTAAAATATAATGATAAAGCAGCATTGCTAGAGTGTTTCAGGAAAGAGAAACAGGTCCATGTTGGTTGTACCTTGTAGAGTTCTTCATAAGTCTCCTCATCAATCTCTACCGTGGTCACCGTCTCCTCCACGTCACCTAGGATCATGTTCAGGTGTTGATCATAGGCCTGGGACACAAACAACTAGAAATATGACCTGGGAGAAGTACACTCAAAAACTTGCCAAGCAAGGGCACCAGAGACACACAAACTGACTGTTCTAAATCCCTGGTCTGGTCAAAAAATAGAAACTCACTGCACAACCAAACACAGGTTCAGCTGTTTCAGTGTTGTTTAGACAGTGTAAGCAGATGCTGTGTGTATAGCTTACATGCAGTCGGCCGCGGAGCTCCCTGTCATTCCTCATCTTGACATAGATCCTCTCATCTAGACTGAGTCTGATCAGATCAAGTGGCTCCTCGACAGTGTTGGTAGTCGGTTGCTGCAGCACACATGAAAGACAATTATTAGACAGCACAATGATTTGAGATTTAACAAATTAGAGCAAAGCTCGGTTCTGGTCTTATGATGTTTTTAGAGCAACTAAAATGAAGCGTCACCAAACCAAACTCACAAATTAGACAACAGGCTTAAAGGACATGGACAATACAGTGTTTGCTCTATAATGCTAAAAGATTTAGGCCTTATTATAAAGTGCCCTGAGATGATAGTTATAACTTGGCGAAACACAAATAAAATTGAACTCAGTTGAATAGGAGAGATGGAGCTGTAAAGAGATGTGGAAAAACAGTTTTGATCAAAAACTTTTAGAATTTAAACGTTGAGCATTTACATGTGTCCTGTTTGCGCCGGTCTAAATTTCTCTAAATAAAACAAGTCAAACTCGTTTACCTGACATTAATATTGCCTTTTCAAACAAACAGAGAGTTTGTGCATTCTTGAATGTAGCTTATGGTTTATTTTTTTTATTTTTTTTTACAATAAATATAAGGTGAAACCGAACTCTGCTGGTCAACAAAACAGCACCAATCACACACGCTTTGCCATTTTGACGGTAGCATTACAAGCTAAAGATGCTAATGTAGCTAGTTGTTAACACAGCAATAAACAAAGTAACACGGAAATTACAGCAAACAGGTATACGACTGCAAATGTCTGTATCCTTTGTTTCCTGATAATCAAATGTATACCGTATTAAAGAATAACAGTACAATTAAACACCAATCCACCAACCTGCTCAACTTCGTCCGCCATGATCTTTGAGTCTGCGCAGTGACTACTACGGATGTTGCCAGGTTCTTCTTCCTCCTCCTATAATATTTATTGGTGGTTTATAAGCCAAATTAAGGTGCATTACCGCCACCTGCTGGGCTGGAGTATGAAACGACCATGATTTGATTTGATTTATTCTTTCAAACATGTAACAACAGTCAATATGTCAACACACATAATTCCACACATATCCACAAATATATTATCAATTTGCTCATAACTAGTACATGCTTGAACGAAGTAGGAAGGAGTCAGACTTATCTAGTCCTACCCCATAACATCATCTTACCATCATTGGTTTGCAAGCAGTATTACTACATAGATAATTTTGTTCTGCACCACGCTAGTGATATACTAAAACACCACACTCACAATGTTACACCTGATTAATCGTTAAACCTGTTCTTGCCCATATCTTGATTTACACATACCTTTATATTTGTGTTTAAACTCATCAATTCTCTTACTGTTTTTTATGTCCACCCTTAAATTATTCCATAGTTTTACCCCACTTATGGAAATACAAAATCTTTTTGTGGTTGTACGTATAGCATGAATTTTTAAATTTAACTGACCCCTTAAATTGTATCCCCCTTCCCTTTCATTAAATAGTTTTTGAATTCCACCAGGTAATAAATTGTTCCTGGCTTTATACAAAAACACAGCAGTCTTATATCCCACTAAATCAAAAAATTTTAACAATTTAGACTGTATGAAAGCTACATTGGTGTGATCCCTGTACCCCATCTTATGCACAATTCTTATCGCTCTTTTTTGTAATATATACAATGGTTGAAGTGAGCTTCTGTATGTATTTCCCAAGTTTTCAACGCCATACTCTAAGTATGGTAAAATCAATGAAGAATACAAAATATGTAGTGCTTTCCCATCCAAAATATATCTAACCCTTGCCAATATCAATATATTTTTTGCTATTTTATTCTGAACATATCT